GCACTTTATCAAGGTAACAATTATCCCTGGCTTTCAGATCCACACTAAGGCATCCAGCTGACTCTTATACTACCTGATTGGGGTGAGGATCCCACCTCATTCTTCTCAAAGTTGCCTTTCACGAGTTTTGTTTGATTTCTGCCTAGCCCATTCCAGCTCTTCTGATAAAGCCTCAAAATATTCCTGAATGTTTACACCATGACGAGGTACATCTGAAATCAATTTTCCAGGCGTATCATCCTAGAAGACCCGGATTTCAAGTCTGCTTGGGGAAATTCTGCAAACAAAATGGCAAAGAAAAGTCAAAAATAAAGGTTGAACAGTAAAGAGATGGGAAAAGATATATCACGTTAAAAGTATTAAAAATAAAGCTGTAGTGACAGTATTAATATGAGACAAAGTATATTTCAGATCAAAAAAGATTAGCAGGCCTAAAGAAGGTCATTTTACAATGATAAATGGATAAATTTATCAAGAGGACTGACAAGAAAAAAAATTCTGAGATGTTCTAAATTAAAATTATGGCGGCTGGGGAGTGAGAGAAACAGACAGAACGGTTAGTCTGTTAATAGCTGTGGACCAGCTCTGACCAAAGGCTGTGGTATGCATCTGTAGGAATTTAGGATTCCCTTTCAGTTGGCTATTTCTGTGATTATCCAAAAGAGAGAATAGCCAAGGGCCATAAAACCCCACGGCAGAGACATAGCCTCCGCTTCTTATTTACACAGGAACTTTCCAATCTGCTGACCACAGCTAATCCACAGGAGCGGACACTTCTTCCTTGTAGACTCTGCTGCACTGATCCCAGAACTAGCCCCGCTTCACCTTCTCCCGTCCCCTTTGTCTATAGCTAGTGTAGATTCTTTCACAAGTGCTTACATCTTTCTCCCCGCCACCACGCCTGATGTATAAAAATGCTTGCAAAACTCCCAGACAATGGACATGTTGTCTTCTGCCTAGCCATGTTCCTGGTGGTGGTTTAGACTCTGTGCCCCAAGACCAGACTTTTTTGCTAGCAATGGCTTGTGAAAAGACTTTCAGCCATGGAAGTTAAATTTTTTTGTTTAACAGGACACAGCAATCTTAAATGTTTATGTACCTAATAACGGAAATTCAAAATACACAAAGCAAAAACCAAAGAACTACAAGGAGAATCAAACGAATTCACAGTTGCAGCTAGAGATTTCAATATATTCCCCTTTCAATGCTTGATAGAACAAGTAGGCAGAACAATAGAAAGAATACGGTAGATATGAACACTAACAAGCAACTTGACCTAATTAACAATTATAGACCGTGCGACGTGACAACAGCAGAATATACATTCTTTTCAAGTGGACATAGAACATTCACCAATATTCTGGGCCATAAAACAAGTTCTAATAACTTTGAAAGCATTCAATTCACACAAAACACGTTCTCTGACCACGTGCTATTAAATTGGAAATCAATAACAGAAAAATCCCTAGAAAATCCTCAAATATTTGGAAATGAAATCACATACCTCTAATTTTACTATGACCTTGATGGGCAGAGAAGCCCTTGGGTGTTATCTAGGTCACACTCTATATTGGGTAACTAGGATAGAAGAAAGAAAACCTAAAAACTTGGTTTTCCGTTGTAGAGGAAATATAGATAATAATCACCTAAGAGTTAAGTTTGGAGTTAAGGTAGAGCAGTCCTTTGGGGCTAATAAATCAGCATATTGGCAGGGATCTGGTGTGAACCCATTTCCTTCACTCCCAGTTTCCCATCACCTGATTCCTCAGGGGTAGAGACTCTTGGAGATGCTAATAACTTTGCAAACACATTAATGGGTCTACAAGGGGCCAATTATTCTTACTTCCTCAACTCTGTCTCCAATGTACCCATCATCCCCACCCCCAGCTGTGAGCTGATGGGCTGCCCAGGGGAAAAGATGACTCTGGGTGTCTCCTGCCGGGATGGGATCAGTTATGAGGACCACAGGGAGTGGGACTACCTCACACCTGATTCCAAGACTCAGTCCGTGGACCCAATGAGTCTAGCTTTCTCTTCACTGTTTTTCTACTGAAGGCTTGTGTTCTGAACCCCAGAGCAACAGCTCTACCATCAAGTAATGTGCCGCCCTAGAATTAAACGTTTTGGTTGAGAACATCTCAAGCAACTTTGAAGTAGGAAATTATCAAGTGTTTGATTATCATCAGGTAATACTCAGATTTCTGGAAATCGTTAACTACTGACACATATTCTGGAAGGAAGAAAATGTCCAGGACAACCATTCTACCTATAGACTGATTTTCCAGGGAATGCAGAATCCTAGCAAGTTGACAAAAGATATTTATATGTGGCTCAGGAAGATTTGTGTGCTCCTGCAGGTACCCTACGGTTTAGTGTTTCTCAAAGTGTGGTTCAGAGACCACCTGTTTCAGAATCACCTGATTTGGGGGACCTAGTTCTAGACTTATTTGAGTAAATTTTCTGAAGTTGGGACCTGGAATTTGCACATATAACAAGCTTCTTCAGTGGACCTTGGACAGGGCACCTTAATGTTTAAAACCATTATTTGGGATCCCTGTTGCTCAAAGGGACACTAGTTACTTCCTCTGGCTGTCTGCTCTCCATATGCACCCCCACTCCATATCTCAGGGAGGAGATGAAGAATCAGGTATAAATAAAGCCCCTTGCCTACTCTTCTCTCATCTATAGGCCCCAAGGAGCTACTCTTACTCCTAGATACTCCACTCCCCAATCCATTTTCATATGAGACTACCCTTAAGTTTTCTTCCAAGTTTTTATTCACAGGTACAAACTGCAGCCAACAGAAATAGTAGTTATTCCAGCATGTTTTGAAAAACTGTGAGAAATGTTAGTTTCTCTACAATTCCTTGCTTGACTAACTCTCTAATCCTGAATAATTTTGAATTTTGTACAGAACGGAGAATAGGGATGAGAGAGGACGGGAGAGGAGAAGGGAAAGATTGGATTGAAAGCAAGTAATAAATCTGGAGGCTCTGATCAGCTATCCACTGTATTACCCACCACCCTATCCTATCTCATCTTCACCTCCTCACCTCATCTTCACTATCTTAAGCATTGGCCCCATTTCTTCTTTTCTCTGCTTCTGTCCATTCCTTTAATCAGAGAGATACTTGCAGACCCATTCATTGCCTACATTGAAACAGCCTGTTGAGGAAAGAAGATGTGAAACTGGATCTCAAGAAGTTCTACTCCACTCTTAACCGTTTCTCAACTTCCTTGAAGTTTCTGTAAGTTATTCCATACTGGGATTTTTATAGCCATTTCTCTGAAGTCCTTGTAATTTGCCTTGAAGCTGAGTTGGCTTTTGACACCATTGGGGCCAATTTGTAACCCAAATCTAGAGCTGTCCACATCCCTGCAATAATGGGTTTATTATAAGCCAAGCAGCTGTCAGGTTACGAATAGCTGAATGGTACATCTCAGGGACAGCAAATAAATCACGAACTTATGCTCTGTGCGCTCTAAAAGGAGTTACCAATGCCCTGTGTTCCAATTTACACTCATGTTTATGTTACCTCTCTGGGCATTAGAATGCTTTTTTCTTGCCATTCAGTGTTCTAGCAATGGCCACAGTGCCTTCATTACCTACTTGACAGCTAAAATTGGTTATCTATACGTACAATCTTCTCTTGACCTGGCAATTTGCTGATTCTGGAAACTCTGCCAGTGGGATAAGCTAACACCTTTGTCTCTTCGATATAGCTTTCTTCTCTGGAATCCACCTAACATTTTTCACAGCTGTGTGATTCATTTACTCTCATCAGAGCAAGAGGAAGGGGCTCACTTTTGCCCTTTTCCATTCTACCTCAGTCACATCTGCTGACTTCAAAGTCTTCACAACTGAGGGTCCTCACCAAAGAGCACAGTGTACTTCAGGGGTTCCCAAATCCCAGGGCCGCAGACCAGTACTGGTCAGTGGCCTGTTAGGAGCCCAGCCACACAGCAGGAGGTGCGGCTCCAGAACCCAGGGGTAATTCAGAAACTTGGGTGGCAGAGCGTGAAATGGAACAGAGGGACGAATGGTGCTTAGGTGATGCAGCCATGACCTTGTTCATTTCCTGAAGAGGCATTTTTACAAATCCCCAGTCCAGGGGCAGGGCTATTTTTCCCCTCTGGCCCCAGTGGCCCTTGAGTCCAGAATGATTCCATTCATTGGAAATGACTAGTACTTTTGTGAAGAAACGGAGGGCTCTTGCACCTTGGCTGATGCTCTTGAGTGCAAGGTCTTTTTGCTCTTTACAGCCCTACTCCATCCCCATCTCTCCATATCCCCAGCCTTGATCACCTTTTGAACCTACAGTAGTGCTGGATTTGCGCCAAGTTCACAGAGCAATTTTATTGCTGAGGCAACGAACTACCTTCAACTCCTCCAGAATATTCAGGATCCTTTGAAGGCCCATTTAGTCACTCTTGCTTAGTACATGTCCCTGTATTGTTTGATGATACATTGCTTCCAAATCTTGTTGTTGTTTCATTTTATTGATCATGTTTAGTCTATCTCTCCAACAAGAATAATCAAAGTTGACATTCTCTGAAATTTCTCAGTGTGCCAGGCTTTGTTTGAGTGCTTTAAATAGATTAACTCGTTAAATTTTTACAGTCTTTTGAGATAAATACTCTTATCCCTATTTTACAGATGAGAAAACTGAAAGTCAGAAAGATCAAGTACCATTCCCAAGGTTTCACAAGTTAGTGGTGAGATCCCATCTTGGAACCTTGACAGTCTGATATCAGAGCCTGTGTGCTTAAACACGTAATATACTGTCTCTAGAATATAAACTTTCTGAGGTCAGACACTCTTGAATTCCTGACAGGGGGAAGACACAGCTAAGCCTATGGAAGACTGTCAATATATATTTGGCAAGTAACTATTTCATTATTTAGAATCATTTAACATCCTCGAGAAACCAAATTGTGTATGTTTCTTTATGTTTCTTTTATATTTTTCCATTGCTGCTCAAGTAATGCTTCCTAACTAACCAATCAACCAAGTAGAGAAGACTTCTCTATGACAGAGTTCCATCCACAAAGCCAGACTTCCTCAGCCAGACCAATCTTCGGAAGGCTGTTCTCAGGGCAAAACTAAACCCCGTGAGAGCCCCCAGGTGTTTCACTTCATTTCCTGTTGCCCCTCTTTCCACACCCAGAGCACTGGAGAAATATGGAAGGGGCAAACCTGAGCCAAGGGACTGAATTTGAGCTCTTGGGCCTCACCAGCGAGCCTCAGCTGCAGATACTGCTTTTTGTGGTGTTCTTGGGCATGTACGCCATCATCCTGTTGGGAAATCTGATCATGTTCCTTCTGATCCACGTGAGTGTCACTCTGCACACACCCATGTACACCCTCCTGAAGAGCCTCTCCTTCTTGGATTTCTGCTACTCCTCCACGGTTGTCCCCCAGACACTGGTGAACTTATTAGCCAAGAGGAAGGTAATCTCTTATCTTGGCTGCATGGCCCAGATGTTCTTCTATGCAGGTTTTGCCACTAGTGAGTGCTATCTCATTGCTGCCATGGCCTATGACCGCTATGCTGCTATCTGTAACCCCCTGCTCTATGCTGTGACCATGTCTCCTAAGGTCTGTCTCTCTCTGATTGTGGTGTCCTACTGTGTAGGATTCCTCAATTCCCTTATCCACACAAGCTGTATCTTCAGTCTGAAATTCTGTGGTGCTCACGTAGTCACTCACTTCTTCTGTGATGGACCGCCTATCTTGTCTCTGTCTTGTGTGGACACCTCACTGTGTGAGATCCTACTCTTCATTTTTGCTGGTTTCAACCTTTCAAGCTGCACCCTCATCATCTTGATCTCCTATCTCTTAATTCTCGTCACCATACTGAGGATGAACTCAGCCCAGGGCCGGTTCAAGGCCTTTTCCACCTGTGCTTCCCACCTCACTGTCGTGTGCCTCTTCTATGGCACAACACTGTTTACATACCTGCGGCCCAGGTCCAGCTACTCCCTGGCTCAAGACCGCAGGGTTGCTGTGATCTACACGGTGGCGATCCCAGTGCTGAACCCCCTTATCTACTCTTTGAGAAACAAGGATGTGAAGGAAGCTTTAAGAAAGATTTGGGGCAGGAGAATAATGGAATGATCTTCTCAACTCAGTACCACATATCTTAGGAAGCCAAGGGAAATTTACCTTCTGTGGCGCTAACTTGAGCACATTCCCATGCTCGCCCGGTGAACAGGCATGCTCTCTGGTCTGCAGGCGCCTCTGCACCAACCTGCCAACCTGCCATAGAAAGAGTTGGTGGCATCATGGAGACTAGAAAGAAGTGAGAAGGGAGTGTCTGCTTGTTATGTAATTGGACCCATTGGCAAGATTTAGTCATGCCTTTGTTCAGATGCTCATTTCTATCTCCATGTTTGTGAATATTTTGTTCTATTATTAGAAACTGACATTTATATTCTTTATAATAAAGTTCTCCCCTTAACTAAATTGAAAACCTCAACTGCTTGGGGAAATCTTCCCCATTCTTTATAATCTCTTCTTTGTAAAAACTGACTCGTTGGCTTAAAAAAAAAATTTCTTTGATTGTTTATTTGAATGATACTATAAAAACAACTTCAAAAATTCACATGATGTTTTATTGTCTTTATTGACTTTTTCCCTGGCCAAATAACCACTTGGTCACTTTCAAACTGGATAAACTTGGGCAAATACTTAACTTTTTCTGAGTCACAGATGTCTCATCTTTTAACTGGTGTGAGTTTTCAATTAAGTACTCAGTTAGATATTGTAGGTAAATTCCTCTGTATGTAGTAGTCATTTGTAAGTCATTCAAGCCTTTTCTTTTATTCCAGCACCCCCGAGTTCTCTCACAAAGTGAGAGAGAGGAGGACATATTCTACCTTTCCCAAAGACTTGCTGTTCCTGCTAGTGTTCTCTTCTTGGTAATTCGTAAGTTGAGATTGAATTAAATTAAACATTTTTAAGTAAGAAGAATCACATAGAGGGAACTCGATCAAGCATGATACTCCTGGACTCTCTATCCTCATTGATAAGCTTGAGAAAAATAAACCAGGCATGCTCGGCTAGTCCCCTCACAAGGAAAGACCTGCCCCAGCTCAGTGCATCCATGACTGGGTCAGCAAAGTCTGCCTAACTCTGGAATTTGGTGTCATAAAGACCATTTTCCCACAAATACAATTCATATGCTCTAATCTAGCCTTTAATAGTAGCACAATCGATATTTTTTTCTCTCCATCTGATTGTTTTGCCCTTTTCCTAAATTGTTCAGAATCAGGATGGAAAAGAATGGCGCTATATAGCAACACACCCAGACAAAGATCCTGATATTAAACTTAGTGCTGAATTTTAATGGAAATTTCTCCTTTTATTACAGAGTTTACTGTTAGCCTTTAATAATTAGTGTTATTCATATTTAAGTATAGTGATTTCTCTTTTGGTACTGATTAGAGATTATAGCTGATAAGGATGTGGACTCTAGAGCAATACTACCTTGATTCAAATCCTAGCTCTATTATTTCCTGTATGTGTGATGTTATATAACCTCTCTGATTTTCAGTTTTCTCTTTTGTAGAATAGGGATAATATTAATGATAGCAGTACAGTTGTTGCTAGGAGAATTAAGTAAGTTAAGGCAAGCAAAAACACTTAGAACAAATGTCTGACACATATCAAGCACTTAATAAACATTAGCTGTTATTATTGGAAATGGCTGCTGACTCTATCAAATGTCTTTTCAGTAACTCTTGATATAATCATGTGATCTTTATAATGTTCCCATGGTAAATTGAAGACCTAGGTTTCCTAATGTTAAACCATTTTTGTTTCCTGGAATCCTATCTGGTCATGAAATGATTTTTCTTTTAATAGACCATTGGACTTGATTTGTAAAGACTTTATTTAGAGTCTTGGCATCTATAATCAAAGATAAAATTGGCCTGTGATCTTTTTGTATTATTTTTATTGTGTTTTAATATTAAGGGTGAACTAGTTTTATAGAATGTATTTAAGTTCTTTCTTCCTTTTCTATAGTGTAGAATAATTTAAATAAAATAAAAATATCTATCCTTTTAAAATGCTATAAAGCCATCTGAGACTGATTCTTTTTTAAAAGGTAGCTCTTTAATTACCTTTCCACGTTCTTGTATGATTTTTGGTTTCATTTTAGTTTTTTCCCCCTGCTTATTAAGTCAATTTAATCCTTTGTATTTTGCTTAAAAATTATTTTCTCCCTCTAGATTTGCAAATTTATTGCCATGAGTCACACATAATACTCTCTTATAATTTTTGTATTTGTTCTCTAGGTCAGCACCATCTGCACTGGGACCCCTCTAGGCCTCTCCAAATAGTTCATTCCATTTTTAGGGCAATGTAAAAAAAAGTATCCTCTTTCGTAATATGAGGGAGATAGATTAAGTGGTTTGTAAGGGTCTTCTGGACTCTAACATTTTATGAGATGAGCATTTGAAGAAAGGCAGTGTTGAGGAATGATTTAACACGTATGCTAAAGCGCTAGACTGCCTAGATTCCAGTCCCAGCTCTGTCACTCACTGGCCATGTAACTTTTTTTTACCTCTCTGTGCTATAGCTTTTTTTCATCTGTGAAATAGAGATAACAATAAAACCTTTCTCAGGTATGGAACTGTTGTGAAAATTAAATGACATAATATCTAAAACAGTACCTGACACACAGTAACTCTTTTGTATTAGCTACTTTTATTTCTTTTGTTTATATCTGTGGTTCTAATTGCCTTGTACATTCTTCATAATTTTGTTTTGTTTTCCTTAGTAATGCTTGACAGAGGACTTTATCATCTTTTTAAAATTTTCAAATTTGTGGGTTTTCTTATTTCTATAATGTATCAGTTTCCCATTTTAAAACATTTATACTTTTTTTAAACTTATGAATCGTTTATTTCTGAAATTTTCCATTTAATGTTTTTAGACCATTGGTAACTGAAACTGCTGAAAGCCAAACCAGATAAGTGGGGGACTATTGTACTGAATCCATGCTAACTACTATTTAACTGTATTAACACCACACCAATGTAAAAATATTTTAAGACAAATTTAAAACACATGCGTTTAACTTTATTTATCATTGTTATCTAAAGCTTGATTTTATAAAACACAAAAGGACATTTTTAAGAGTTCTATGTTACAGGAATTTAAACAGTAGAAATATTGATAGCTTAGTAGGTTTGTTATATAAATTAAAATCAAATAATTGGAAATTTTTTCAATATGGAAATTATACAAATGAAATAAATGGCAAAAAGACTAAACAGCAGTACTTCATTATTTATGGATTATCATTTTCTGACCTAAACAAAGATTCTGAATATTTAGACTTCTTTTGCTGTGTTTTATATTTAAATGTTTCCCTACCTATATTCTGAGTCAAGCTACTGGACCAAATAGTCTGATTTAGGAAGGCATTTAGCTTTATAGTGAAAGTTTTTCAGTCTACAGCCACCACCTTCAAAGGAATTGACATTGCAGTGCTGATGTAATCTTCCGATTCCTTTTTGAATAGTGTGCAATAAATTATGTCAATCTTATGGAAGCCAAACAGGTACCAAAAAATGGAACAGTTATGCGCAGTTCAGTAAAGTATAATGTTGTTTTCCCCATCTAAAAATTAACCAACAAAATAAAACGTATCAATTATAGTTGACTTGGTTTCAGGAAAACCACATTTGAGAATTACATTATTGTTCTCATCTCTTCGAGTCACTGACAGGGATTTTGTAGGCCCCCATGTTATTTACTTTGTGGTTTATAGTAGTGAATGAATGAAGACGGATTTCCTCAAAACTGGTGATGAACTGTGGTCTCAACTCTCCAATTTTTCAAGTGTAACCAAATCTTTGTATAAATCAGTAGATCAAATGAACAAGAAACTTACAACAGTGGCAGAAATATCACTGTGGTTGTGTTCTCTCTGATCACAGGAAGGATTTCATCTTGGATAGCTTCTTGAGACTTCTCTCTGGGTGTACTTTCTCTTTGGCAGTCTTGTCACACTCAATATCAAACTGGAATCTCTCAAGGACCTCACCACTTTCAATATTTGAGACGACTCCCTCCAGTTTTCTGAACTGAACAATTAATTGTATAAGCAATCTTTTAGTAGTTCCACCACATTATTTAGTTATTTTATGAACTCAGGATCAGTAGTTACATGCAAGGTGAGTTCATGTTTCTGCACGTGAGTACCGGTTTCAGATGGTTATATGCCACACGGATAAAGAACGCTGTTGATGCCAAATGAGAAGAACTCAACAAGGATCTTGGCGTTCCCGCGCAGGTTGGTCCCTTGCTCCCGAGAGAGCTGTAGCGCCACGGCCAGGAACCAAACGGGAAGGGGCGCGCACCACTCACTCGGGACGACAGCGGGAGCTCCAGAACAACTGCCTGCCACGGGTTTCAAAAGTAACCAGGCAGCACCAGTTTCTCATTTTATTAATTTCAGACTTTCTTTATTGATTCCTTCTTTCTCAAGTTGCTATTAAATACTGAAAATCTACAAAAGAATATTTTTAACGTATTTCGGTCTGTTATATATTTTAAAAAATATAACTTATTTTCTTTATTAGGCTTTTTAAGTTCCGTGAAAAACCTTCTTGGAATTTTGATTGGAATTATACTGAATGCATATATAAGTTTGGGAGAGTTCAAATCTTTATGATATGTCTGGGAAGCTGTTTCCACTTTTTCCTTCTAAAGTCCTCATTCTCTCATCCTCAAAGTCCTTTTGGAACTTTGGCCAGCCTTTGTTGTCTGTCTTAGCCTAAGTGGTCACTTTGGAATTTGTATTATTATCTGAGTTGACAGAGGTTTTTTTTTTTTTTTTTAAGGAAAATAAATGCTTAAAATAGTGCGCTAAATTGGTTATGACTTTTGTCAACCTTTCCTTTTGGTTCTTGTAAAATTCCCTCATGCTTAGAGCCTATATAGAAAAATTTCATACTCAATGTGAGAATCCTAATGACAGTGTCTGTGGTATGGCTCTCTAGCAGACTCAAAACTTGCAATTGATTGGGAACACTCGCCTCACCTGGATGACCATTTCCACCTAATATACCTGGAAACTTGCCTCCGGGTTAGCTTCGACTTGATATCTATTCTGCTTTCTGGAGTCACAGAGGTCTTTATACATGGCGATCACTTTCATTTCCCCAAG